AGAGGTCGGCGCAAGGTGCAAAGAGTAGGGGTATTTGGCCCACAATGGCCGGTAGTTGGCTGGGGCACGGAGGGTGTGGAGGACATGCAGGACGGAGGAGCGCAGTGGACAGTCGGGGTCTTGGAGGCGCAGCCATCGGCGGACGGACATCGTCCAGCCAAGGAACGACAGCTCGTTCCATGCAGTGGAAGGCAGAGGGGTCTTATCTTCATATTGGACCTTGTTGTGCTCGGTCCATATGAGGTGCAGGGTGGATGCCGTGAGGAGGATCCACAGGGTCTGGAGAGCATCTTTGTGACGGTCACCACTTGCATTGACCGTGAACAGGTCCAGGTCGGAGATAGTCGACCATGCAAATGATACCCCATAGCGTCGCCAGGCGTCCCGGTGAAATGACCATACAGGGTGGATGTGGGGACATGCGTGGAATGCATGGTATTGCGTTTCCACTGCACCACAGCCGTAGGCGCAGCAGATAGCGTCGGGACGCTCGAGTTGGAGGTGGGCAAAACGGCAGTTCACAGGGAGCATGCGGAACAGTAGGCGTAGCCACACATCACCCTGCACCGGGGGAGGAATCCGACATGTCCGCCTGACACGCTTGACATAGCTGTGGATAGCCGCAGTAGTCGCACGGGCTGTGCTGGACATGGGGTGGTGTCCCTCATGGATGGGGGCATGGTGGGCCAGAGCCAGAACCATTCGTCTTGGCCAGGACTCAAATGGTACGGGGGCATCCTTAGCTAGGCCATAGAATGGGTGTCGGGCCGTGGGGGGGGCTGGGGTGGCCGGGGGAGGCGGCTGGTTGAGCCCCAGGACGTTGGTATGGACACAGGTGAGGTGGTTGTAAAGCATCCCGGATCGGTACACAGTCGCCCATTGCATGCGTCCATCCATGCCAATCTCCACTTGGGCAGCTGGGTTTCGATCAGACATCATCGCCATGAACTCTGCACGAGTCGGCCATCGACCATGCACAGCGACGATGTCAGCTAGACAGCGTAGCTGGTTGGATGCACCATGGCTACACCATCGACGAGTGGTGGGCGAGTTGACGATGCTGGCAGCACATTTCCTATTCGACATGGACCGCTCGAATGTTGTAAGCCACACTGGGAGACTCATAATAGTCGCACTGGAGAGGGGCAGCTGAATGCGACCATCCATCGGTGTAGCCGACCATTGTCTCCACACATCAATCCACAGTGGATGGAGTTCCCACAGCATGAGCCACTTCGACTTATGGTGTGGGTGGTAGAGCAGGAAGTCGAATGGGTTGGATGCACGGTGGAGCCGACCCATGCACCTCTCAAACTGCCGTAACACCAGTGGCTGCCAAAACGGTCGGTCCACAGTCGACACGGTCATGGCACGCTGAAGGAGCTGCAGCCGTTGTGCACGAATCCTGGACGCCACGTGGGGTAGACCCAGGCCCAGCCTGAGGTCAAACTGTAGTGGGGAGGACAGCAGAGGGTGGTGACAAAACGAGTATTTCCACCTCCATATCATCGGACTCCATCTCACCAGGTCCCATAGTAGGTGGTGAGAGTGCATCCATGGTCTGCACCATAGAAGTGGTGCCGGCGGCGACGGTAGGGGCGAGCAAGGGGGCGTTAGCTTTAGCGCGGGTAGATCCCATAGTTAACTCAAGTAAACAAGTGTGTTGTTTACAAGGCAAATAAGGAACTGTGTGCATTAGCTCAGTTGGTAGAGCGTCAGTCTTTTAACCAAGGTCCCCTGTTCGAATCTGGGTCCCGCCATCCTTTTCGACGAATTCAAAAACCGTCACGCGACACCTGGAAAAGGACCCGCGCTTCGGTTAAATAACCGGATCGTGAAAAACACTGTAAACACAACCAACACCCCCCGAGTGAGCACAATCAGCCGGCTAACGCGAGAAGGCAATATTAAGTTAGGAATAATATCCGGTTCAAATTCTAATATACCTCCATTGACAATGCGCTATTTCCCCCCTTTTGAAGATTCAACGAGACCAAGCACATGTTCGGATTCGTTACCTCTTGGAGACAGAGTGAATGCTATTGTGGTACCGCAAAGACAAACCCTGAAAAACGTTCAACAAATATGAATACCGTTCAGCCAAGACTGAAAACCGTTCAAACTGATAAACTCTAGTTAAATTAGGATAATTTTTGTACTCTGACCACCTCACCTCATACTGGGGGTTAAGCGTATCTCCGTGGTTAGCGATAGCTAACCACTGGTGATGCGCTTAACCCTGGGGATTTAGCATTATACTTTGAAGTATGTGCACGCAGGGTAGGACGAAGTCCCGGGGTTACAGGGTTACGGGAAGAAAGTTTGCTTGAACGGTTTTCAGTCTTGGCTGAACGGTGTCCAGATATCTTGAACGTTTTCCCATAGTTTCCGTACCGCGAAGGATACACAGGGAGTTGCGGGAAATCGTCTATCCAATGACTCTAGCCGTGTATGTTTGCCCATTTTTTGTTGAGAACGACATGATAAATCAAATCAAATGTGTATTTCATTAGAATAGAGAAAAAAACTACTGATCAATGCAGTGAATAAAACATCTAAAGGGTCCAAAGACTTGTTGTTGCGTGGAGATCGTTGTTCGCAACCGTCGCCTCGAACAAAATGGCTTGTTGGCTGAACGTCTTGAACACTTTCAGACTATCCAAGTGAACTGGAACTAGCAAGCTGATAGTTGCATGTGCTTTGGGGGGCTTCCGGTCGGTGGCACGGAGCAACTCAGCGCTGATTCGGGCAGCAATAGTCCGCGGTAGAATATCAAAGGTGTCGGGTTTTCAACCTTGACATCCCCATAGGCTGCATCCACGTTCCATGTGCCTTTGGGCCACTCGAAATCAATTTCGATGGTTCGCTGGCTGGGGCCGATTGTGATTTCCACGTTAGTGGCGCTTCGAGGCTCTGCGAACAATACACAAATACTGACTTCCCGGGAAGGGTGACGGCGGTACTGGTAAATGTTGCAAGGGTAGCTGACAAATTTGACAATTCCATCGGATGTTGGAAAAGCCTCTCCACCAATCTCAAATGTCATGTCCTCGTGACACGGAATTTCAGTCGCTTCATAGCTAGGTGTTGTCGATTGCACTGCATACATTAGTGATTATAAGAATAGTGTAATACACAATGTCTTACATGTTGCCCGATGCCGTAACATGGCCTTTCGGAAGTGGGCGCGAAATGCGTCGAAGCTGTACTGCTGAAATAAAACGTGCTCATCGTAGACATCACGAGCCTTTGTTGACGCACTCACACAACTCGATTGCACCAGGTCGTCGAGTAGCTTCTGCGCCTCACATGGAGGTGACGTGTTCCATGCTACTCGTGTGGCCGCGCTACTGCGAGTCCTGTGTGAGGGTTGTCGGTGCATTTCAAGAAGATTTCGAAAATGAACGAGGATTGCGCGCGCAATTTCAAATCTATCCGGATAATGCTAGTACCTACTAGAGTAGTAGCTAGATGTTCAACATGTTCATTCGTAACGTTCTCTTGAATTCGAATTTCTTTCAATTCGGACATCTCTACTACTTTGACGCACGATATCTCGACTTTCTACCGAGGGATTGTGAATCTGATGCTGGGATATGTAATGCTTACTAGTGTATCAACAACCGTTACTATAAGTACTTTGTACGGAATGCGCAGGATCTGCGCTGAATTTCACGTCAAACACAGACATTCATCGTGACGGAGGACGAATTCGGCTTTTTAAGCACTGGATTTCACTCTTTTCTGCGAGCTAATCTTGTATAATCTCAATGGATATTGAATCCATGCAATAATAAGTAGACAAATACGAGAGGATTTGCTTTGGTATCGCATATTCATCACGGAATCCTCGGACGAACACTCTTCTTCTCCTTGTTCACATGTTCGTCGTTTTGCGTGTGGATATCTGGATTCATTTAGTAGATACTACTACTACTATATGAATTTATTTAGTAGATACTACTACTACTATATGTACTACTATATCCAAGATCATTTGCAAGTGGTGCTTAGTAGACACATACTACGTAGTAACTGATAACGTTAATAGTAAGCCCAGCTTCAACTTCAATCCGGATAACTGCGTTTCAAGAAAGCGCGCAAATTCGAAATCGATGGCAGGTCGGATGACTCCGACCTTCTGGCACCATGGGTGCCGCATGATGAACCGTCATAGTGCACCGCTAGAGTCCAACTGCCGACGATACAAAGCTATGTTTGGGGTGACCCCCCTTTGTGCTAGCCTTGTATGGACTATGGTTGAGGACCGACGCCCAGTGTCCTCGCGTCCAATCCACCTGCTCTGGGCTCTGCTCTTTCTTATAAGTATACGGTACTGAAGACGTTCATCACTGCATTACTCAAGCCGACGAAAAGACCTTTCGACGCTGGGTTTGAATTTGGGTTACATTAATTGCTAATCTCAATGTGGTTGTATATCAACCTGCTATTAAAACTAATGACATGTTAGATTGAGTGGGATCGCCGTTTGGAGTTGAGTCGTCCAGGTGACAAGACATTTGTGTCTCTCGATGGATCAGATTTCCGCATCCAAGAACAGATACCATTTGTTCGTAAATAGTACTCCCACAAGTTCCATGGTCCAGGCTTCCGTTACGAAGTCGGCATCTGCATTAGGACGGGCAACATTGTTTGGGTAAACGGAGGGCTCCCATGTGGGGAGTGGCCAGACTTGCGGTTGGCACGCGATTCCTACATAAGCATGGTCCGCCGTGGTGAATTGACGCTTGCAGACAAAGGGTACAATGACCCCAACTATTTTATCTACCCATGCCCCCAACTTCAAAACCCGAGGCTCCACAAAGATATCATGGCTCGCCACGAGACCGTCAACAAACGCATGAAGCAGTTCGGCGTCTTGTCACGCGTATTTCGGTACAGTATTGATCTCCATCCTAAATGTTTTCATGCTGTCGCCAACTTAACTCAATTGTCGCTGTAAAACGGCGAACCGCTATACCAAGTTGTTGTATCTCAACTACTTCAAAACCGATCGAAACCAAAACGTTAGAATATTCAAAGGTAAAAGGCGAAGTGAGTGACAACGAGCCACTCAAACTACCTAAACTCTCAGATCCGATAAGGGGGTCGATACACTCTACCAATCCATATGGTACTCCAACCACCAAAAGGACCGACCAATGGACGGCAAGGAGCAGGCGCCACAGGTCTACTCCTTTCCGTCTCAGTAATTCGAGCCGAATACATCACTTC